GTTCCTGAGAATTGTTTAAATTCAATTTCACGAGGCCAGCATGACTTTAAAAGTTAATCTAACCACTGCAGCATGCTTTTTTTTTTTTAAATAATTTCCACTATATAAGCTGCCGATGCCTCTGAAGAGGGTATGAATATATGGTGACAGTACATACAAAAACATAAAGAACATCCTTGAAATAATGTTAAGATGTACTTGGGAAAAAATCAGAGATAAAAAAAAATACATTGAGCCGATGCAAGCGGAGCCCTTTAGGCCATAGATTGGGTAAGGAAAATAACAAAAGAACAAAACAGTATATAAAAATGAATTACAGCCTCTTGAAAAGTTCAAGAACACAAGAGCTGTCTCTGCCTAGTCTTAAGTTTTCGACCCTGTCAGGTTGAACTAAACGACTTGACAGCTTCCAGAACTAAACAAGAGCTGAAGCAAAGTGACTAGAAAATTAATAGGTATGAGAGCATACAAATATCAGATCGCAATCGATTCATTGACGCAGTATCTTTCCATAACGGATCGAAATGTAACTTTATTATATTATAAGAAATGCTTACTAATATAACATACCTTGTAGCACGTTGAAATAAAGATTAAATCAAAAGTTGTCAGGAATAGGGTGTCAAAAGTTCTTGATTCAACAAAACATGTCTTTTTTATGCTCCATACTTTGTTTTCATATGAACTAACTATCTTTAAAGGTGCTATTACAATATTGGCACATTCAGTGATTGCAGTATATGTAATCACTCAGTATCACTATTCGGTATCTATTTTCCCTGTTTCCGTTGGCCATGTATCTTCCCCGGTTGGCTAGGCAGCGGATGTAGCCATGAAAAAACATACCTGTTCTTTTAAACACCGACTCATTATCTGTGATGGAACAGATGCTTATACTATAATAGCAATAGGGTGATGTATGTGATCTATACACGGTCGGACAAACTTTTAAAATGGCTCATTTATTTGTTACTTCTAGTTTGAATATTTTTCGCATGTATTTGAGATGTTTAATGGTTCTACAATAGGTTCAAGAAGCTGTAGAGGTCAGTCCCTTGAATTTTACCCAAAAGACCTAATGGTTATGAACATGGAAGAACCTGAATGTTCCCAGTTGTAAGTGGTCTCAGCACTAACTGTATCGTACATGTCTGGTAGTAGAATTGTTAAAGGATTGTACTGATGAAAGTGTAGTACCATCTGAATACACTGGATTGCTGAACAACATTTGGTGGCTTATGAAAGCTAATCAGGTAGAATCAGGGAGGACCATTACTAATGCTAAAACATCCGACATCATCCATTGATAACTAATGTGCTATACGTAATATATATGTGTATGTTTTTTTGTTTTTTTATGGTAGTGTACCTTCAAAATCTGGCGTTGACAGCTCTGTTCCTGTCAATACCAGTTACTTCTGCCAGAGAACATATCAGAAGTGACCAGGCTGATTAAACGAGCAATGATGAGAGATTGATGACCAAGCCTCAGTTCAGGTCTTTGAAATACCGTCTCTAAAGACTCACTTTACTGATTGTCACAGTTGCTCCACTACAAAGAATAAACTGAACCAGATGAACGAAAGCCAAACCGTTGTACTTTATGGCTACCCTCGCCATTCCCGGGGAGTTGAGCAATGCCTAAACCTAAAAACTGTTATGCAACAGAGTGAAGCTTCATTTTTTCCACCGACTGTTAACCCAATCAACAAGCATATTTCATTAATGACGTCAGCCAGGATCTTTACGAGAGTATTATCAACCTTCGTTATCGATACAACATGGAAGTAACATTGAGATAACGTTAACAACGACTGTGGTATTGATCACTGCCATTTATCATTGTAGAAGTGATTTCGATACGTTTGTCATAATCAATGACGTTTGGGTTTAGTTGCGTCGGAAAATATCCCGTGTTTGTTATTCCCAAGAACGGTCCGTAATAGATGGTCATGACACACTATTGATTATTAATAAAGCAAGTTATTAGGCAAGTTACTGAACAATGGATAAGGAAGTATGGGTGTGCATATATATATATATGTGTGTGTGTATGTGTGTGTGTGTGTGTGTGTGTGTGTGAGGGTTATCTCACCTACTCCCGAAGTCCTCAATGACGCCTTTTTATTTAGAATTTCTCAGTTTTTTTCACCATCTTTATCATCTCCCTCCTTCCCTCCCTCCCTCCCATCTCATTTCTTACTCTCCTACTCTCCCCGTCTCCAGCATCTGCCCGCCCTCAGATAGGACTAGCAAAAGCTCGGTCGTTGATAAGATAAGGTTAGGCGGAGGAACGGAGGCCAGGAGGAAGGGAGAGTAGAGGAAGTGGAGAAGAAAGGGAGGAAGAGGGAGAAGGGAGGAAGTGGAGAAGAAGGGAGGAAGAGTGGGAGAAGGGAGGAGTTGGGGGAAAGGGAGGAAGTGGAGAAGAAAGGGAGGAAAAAGAAAAGGAGTAAGCTTGGGGGGAAGGGAGGAAAAGAAAAAGGAGTAAGCTTTAAAAGGGAGGAAAAGAAAAGGAGTAAGCTTGGGGGGAAGGAAGGAAGTGGAGAAGAAAGGAACAGGATAAGAGGAGGAAGCAAGGGGGAAAGGGAAGAAGTGGAGAAGAAAGGGAGGAAGAGGAAAAGAAAAGGAGGGAGCGTGGGAGGGGGGAAGGAGGAAGAGGAGAAGAGAGGAAGGAAGAGTGGGGGAAGGGAGGAAGAAAAGGAGGCAGGAGGAAGTGGGTGGCGGTGATGAACAAAGGGAGGGAAGAGGGATGGGAGGTGGAAGCAAAGAGAGGAAGGGGAAGGAGGTGGAGACGAAGAGAAGAAATGGAAGGGAAGGGAGGAAAGAGACGAAGAGAAGAGAGGAAAGAGACGAAGGGAAGGGAGGAAAGAGACGAAGAGAAGAAATGGAAGGGAAGTTTGGAGAGAGACGAAGAGAAGAAATGTAAGGGAAGGGAGGAGAGAGACATTAAGAAGAAGGAAAAAGGAATGGGGCCAGAGACGAAGAAAAGAAGAGAAAGGAAGGGAGGGTAGAGACGAAGAGAAGAAGAGAAAAGAAAGGAGGACAGAGACGAAAAGAAGAAGAGAAAGGAAGGGAGGGTAGAGACGATGGGAAGAAGGGGAGGAAAGGGGAAGGGACGAGGGAGAGACGTGGCTTCTGCGATGCTTCCCTCGACGGAGTTGGCGAGCAGAAGCATCTGTCTGCGAGCTGACTGCGCCGTCAGATGCCTTTGTGGTCTTGGAACCAATGAAGGTCATGATGAATGATAATTGCTAAAGTTATGGCCATGATACCAATAATCGCAATGATACTGATAATGCTAATAATAGGAATGTTATGTATTAATAATAAAAATAGTTATGATGATGATGATGATATTAATAGTAATAGTATTAATAATAATAATAATCGGGATACAAGTAATGATAATATTAATAATAATAACAACAAAAAAATATAATATTTTACGATGGTAATATATGGGACATTTCATGCTATTTTGACATTCAGCCGAAATCATATTAGTGTCATTATCATCAAATTAGTATCACTGTCAATAACACCAAAATAATTAACTCACTTCTGCAATAAAAGCATTCCACAGATATAATTTCCTCGCGCTGCCATCATACCATCATGAGGACACCGCAACCCCGACACCATACCAAAACCCCGACACCATACCAAAACCCCGACGACACCATACCAAAACCCCGACACCATACCAAACCCCGACACCATACCCCCCGACACCATACCAAAACCCCGACACCATACCAAAACCCCGACACCATACCAAAACCCCGACACCATACCAAACCCCGACGACACCATACCAACCCCGACACCATGACACCAAACCCCGACACCATACCACCCCGACACCATACCAAAAACCCCGACACCATACCAAAACCCCGACACCATACCAAAACCCCGACACATACCAAAACCCCGATACCAAAACCCACCCCAAAACCCCGACACCATACCAAAACCCCGACACCATACCAAAACCCCGACACCATGCCGCAACCCCGACACCACACCACAACCACGACACCATACCGCAACCGACACCCGCAACCCCGACACTGTACCACAACCCGACACCATACCGCAACCCCGACACCACCCAACCCCGACACCATACCACCCCGACACCAATACAACCCCGACACCATACCGCAACCCGACACCATACCACAACCCGACACCATACCGCAACCCTGACACTATACCACAACCACGACACCATACCGCAACCCTGGCACCATACCACAACCACGACACCTACCACAACCCCGAATCCATACCACAACCCCGACACCCATACCACAACCACACCCATACCGCAACCCCGACACCATACCGCAACCCCGACACCATACCAACCCCGACACCATACCGAACCCCGACACCATACCAACCCGACACCATACCGCAACCCCGACACCATACCGCAACCCCGACACCATCCACAACCCCGACACCATACCCACAACCCCGACACCATACCGCAACCCCCGACGCCATACCACAACCCCGACACCATACCCACAACCCCGACACCATACCCGACACCATACCACAACCCCGGCACCATACCATAACCCCGACACCATACCACAACCCCGACACCATACCGCAACCCCAACACCATACCACAACCCCGACACCATACCAAAAACCCCGACACCATACCGCAACCCAACACCACACCACAACCCCGACACCATACCACAACCCCGACACCATACCCAACCCAACACCATACCACAACCCGACACCATACCATAACTTCCGACCCCATACCGCAACCCCAACACATACCACAACCCGGACACCATACCACAACCCCGACACCATACCGCAAACCCCGACACCATACACACCCCGACACCATACCGCAACCCCAACACCATACCACAACCCCGGACACCATACCACAATCCCGACACATACCGCAACCCCAACACCATACCACAACCCCGACACCATACCACAAACCCCGACACCATTTACCAACAACCCCGACACCATACCGCAACCACACCATACCACAACCCCGGACACCATACCACAACCCCGACACCATACCGACACCATACCACAACCCCGACACCATACCACAACCCCGACACCCATACCACAACCCCGACACCACCACAACCCCGACACCATACCACAACCCCGACACCATACCGCAACCCCAACACCATACCACAACCACGACACCATACCACAACCCCGACACCATACCGCAACCCAACACCATACCACAACCCCGACACCCACAAACACCATACCTCAACCCCGACACCATACCACAGTATACCGCAACCCCGACACCATACCGCACCCACACACCATACCACAACCCCACACCATACCACAACCACGACACCATACCACATCCCGACACCATACCGCAACCCCGACACCATTCCCGTGAACCATTCTCCCAACTGAATCCGGCTCAAGTAACGCTAACTAAATAACCCGGCCACACAAGGGCGAACCTCCGGGGGGGAGAGAGGCCGGTTATTTAGGCCTACCTCGTCCAAAAAGCGTAAAAGGAAGAGAAAAAGCGGGGTAGGGGAAGGAAAGGTCGGAATTTCCCCTCAGAAAATTCCCCTTATTTTTCTGCCATTCCTTTTCGGGAGATATTTCAGTCACGTCTTCCATCGCGGACGCGGGAAGAAGTTGATGACACGAAGCGGGCCAATATTTGCATACTAATGAGGGGGGCTATTACTCTCCCCGGCCATTTTGAGTCCATCCGGGAGTGAAAGGATTCCGTCCCGAAGCTGATCATTTCCCTTCCTCCTTCCCCTGATGTCTGGGTCCCAGGGTCGGTGTTTTTGCGTCGGCCGGGGCGAAGGAACATTTCTCGCTCGCGGATCGGCCTCAATCGACGGACCGACTCGGAAATGGCCGGCAAATACGGGGTTTAATCTGATCGATGTTTCACAGCGGTTACGTTTCTATGGTGCCTTTTGCCTTGTGGAATTCATGGCGAACAAATTGCAACAAGAGAAACGAAGGGAAGAACAAGAAAACACGAATATTCGTGTTTTCTTATTCTATCCTTCGTTGTTCCTACTGCGCCCTTTACCTTGTACAACGCAGATCATATGGCGACATTTTTTCCGTTGGAATTTCGTCTGTTGGAGATTTTTGTTCAGTCGAGTTTTGTAAAAGGCTTCCTGACTGCTCGAGGAGCCAGTGATGACTTGTTGGTACATTTTATGGACAGACACGCAATGTCTGTCACAGATGCAATGCCTGGGTCTCTTGCACATCCAAGTATATCAGTATTTGCAAAACATATTCCAGCTCTTCCTTCTTCTGTGGACCAACATTTTGTTTCCCATATTTAATGCTACTGACCTCTTTTTGTACTTTCTGTACATAGTTGAAAAGAAACTGTCAATATCTATAAATAAAAGTGTGTATCTGAACAAATATGTGTACAGGTTGACATTCTAAAAATCCAAGAACCTCCGGACTTGAGGCGTGATTTTTTATAAATACCGGATTTTTATGGGTCCATATGCTGCATATATTGAACAGAAAATGACTGCATCCACAGTCATTCAAATAAAGAAAATCAAGCACTAAATGAAGAGCATATCAAATGTTAGTGTTCATCAACTAACAAAACAGTTCTAAATAATTCCAGGTCAAATTGTCCTACATAATATTAATTGAACCAAATAGTTCTCAGAATTTTAATAATTTCGGTACCCTTGAAAAGAAGCTAAATAGCGGATGGGCTGTCAGGATGACATAACTGACAGTAATGGAATTCAGTGCCGGAAATCTGTGAATCGGTCCTACGTTAGAGTTCGTATTTTATATCAACCTGTACATGTGTTTTTAGCTGTGTCCGATGGGCAGTATCGCGATGCATATCGATCGATACTTTGGTACTGGCATCGGTCTATTCTTATCTACTCAATGGCAGTATCGTTTTATCGGTATCGCTAGTTTTTTTTTTCAAAATATATTGAAACAATCGATATATTTGAAATGAGACTTAGTATATATGAAAAGCTAGATGTCCCTTCATTTATTGCAATTCCTATTTGTAATTAATAATTGTTCTTAAGGCGTTTTTTGTGCTGCAGAGAGTAAACTAGGAATTCGTTAAATGTCTTTTTTTCACAAGAGACAGAAACATGCATCACTAATTGCTAGGGAAGACGAATAGATTAGCTATTTGGAAGAATAATGGACAATATATATATATATATATATATATATATATATATATATATATATATATATATATATATATATATATATCTTCCCTTTCTATTATATATATTTCCCTTTCTCTCTTTCTCTCTCTCTCTCTCTCTCTCTCTCTCTTTCTTTCTCTCTCTCTCTCTCTCTCTCTCTCTCTCTCTCTCTCTCTCTCTCTCTCTCTCTCTCTCTCTCTCTCTCTCTTCTCTCTCTCTCTCTCTCTCTCTCTCTATCTTCCTTTCTATCTCTCTTTCTCTCTTTCTTACTTACTTCTCACTCTCTCTTCTCTTTTCTCTCTCTCTTCTCTCTCTCTCTCCTCTCTCTCTCTCTCTCTCTCTCTCTCTCTCTCTCTCTCTCTCTCCTCTCTCTCTCTCTCTATCTTTTATCTTTATCTATCTCTCTCTCTGTATTTCTTTTCCTTGGTTATAAAGAATATAATATATATATGCACAGATTGCTATGACCGCACCACTCTTTTTTTGAAGTTCATCAGACATGCAAATCAAATATTTACATATCACTTGGGATATTTTCTTACAATTAAGTATCGGCGATTCATGTATTGGTATCGGCATCGCTTTAGCTATTAACGAAAAGTCGATATATTGAAATCACTTTAGCCAATTTTCAAGAATCGATGTATCGATATCGTTATAGGCAATTCTGCGTATCGAGGCCCATTACTGTCTGTCTAATTACCGTCACATTACCGACTCCAGAGCAAAAGGCAATCGCCCGATGGTTGAGTTAGTATGATGCTCCTTTTTGAGAAAAACACGTGTTATGCACTTTCCATTACAGGATTTTGGCTTTAAAGCACTGCTTAAGAAACTTCACTCAGTTCTGGCAAGTGATTTTCTTCAAACAGATTTGAGTGCAAATTATGCGTGACAGTTTTCAATAATTGCCATTTAACAGTATCAATAGTCGCTTATGATCACATTATAATGATAATAATACCGCCTTTGACAATGAAACTTCCCCATCCACCGCTTTCTACACTCCCCCTCCCTCCCTCTTCCCTCCTTCCCCCATCTTCCTCCCTCATCCGTTCACCCACCCAGTCTCCCCCTCTCCCAATCTGCCATTCACGCTCCCCCCTTACCCCTACCCCTTCCTCATTCTCCCTCTTCATCCCCTCACCCACCCCTTCCCAATTCACCCCTTCTCATCCAGCTCCCACTCTTCCTCTCTCCTTCCCTCCCTCTTACCTCTCTCCTTCCCCTTCCCTCTTCCCTCTCTCCTTCCCCCTCCTCTTCCTCTCTCCTTCCCCCTCCCTCTTACCTCTCTCTCCTTTCCCTTCCCCCTCCCTAGTCCCCTCCCCCTGTGGGTGTGCTGGCAGAACCGGACCGGAAGCGCGCCCTTTGCCCGGAAGAAGGGTAAGAGGCTCGAAAAAGGAGCGGGGGGAGGGGAGGGAGGAGTGGGGAGGGGAGGGAGGAGGGGGAGGACCTCTGCTTTAAGGTTGCAAGAGGGGGAAACTTTCTAGATTAACTGTGAAATTTGAAAGGGACAGTGGAGGGTGAGAGGTGAAGGGAGATAAGAGAGAGAGAGAGAGAGAGAGAGAGAGAGAGAGAGAGAGAGAGAGAGAGAGAGAGAGAGAGAGAGAGAGAGAGAGAGAGAGTGAGGGAGGGAGGGAGGAGGGAGAGAAAGAGAGGGGAGAAGGAGAGAGAGAGAGAGAGAGAAGAGAGAGAGAGAGAGAGAGAAGAAAGAAGAGAGAGAGAGAGTGAGAGACAGAAGGGGAGGGAGGGAGCAGAGAGAGAAAGAAAGAGAGAGCGAATATTGATGTAAAGTTATAGCCCATGTAATGATCATAAGAGAGGGGTGAAATTAAGTAAACATAATAAGAAATAAATAAAATGTAATACTAAGGGAAACTGGGAATAAAACCCGCTCGAACACAGACAGATGTTTAAATTTGGAGAAATCAAAAAATAAGAAAGCTCTGAAATGGAAACAAAGGAGCAGAATAAACTGAGACAGGATCAGTACTAAAATATATATATATTAGCACTTGGTCGCCCCAGTGGCCGTGCACTCCCCCCCTTCCCTTCCCCACCCACGAAACACATTGAGAGTCTCACCTTTATGTGACATTTGAGGCCACGAGGGCAGGAGGAGCGGGGGGGGGGGGGCAGTGTAGAGGATTGTGCTTTGCGGGCTGCTATAGATATGAAAAATATTGTATAGTTCCCTGAATACGTGCTGAATTATACACATCTACAAAGAGAGAGAAATAAAATCCAAAGAGAGGTTCCTGTACAGAAAGTGATGAATAAGTCCATAAGGTGATTGCACAGCAGTTGAGGAGGAAATGCCATTTAATATGACACATTCTTACAAGTTTTATTCGTTCGAGATCAAAACATCGTTCTCTTTGCTACATATTGCAATCATTTTTTTTTATTTAGATAGCTATCATTCTTCTTTCTTTCTTTTCAAGAGAAATATAATATTGTGCGGGCCATTTCATTGTCCCCGAAATAAAGATGTCTGTTGGCCTTTTCTGTTCACATTTTCGGCAAACAGGAAAAATCTCCTTCAGCCCTTTGACCGAAGTCCTTTCTCAACGCATTCCGCAGCAAGGCTTCCTTTTCCGATCTCCAGACGATGAGTTATTCAGTTTTCAATCAAGTCGCTAATGTGGAGTTTTCGCCCAAGGTCCGTGGAGTCTGAAAACGAAAGGGTTGGGTCCTGATTGAATCCTTTGTATATTGCTGATTCATGGAGTCCATAGGCGGATTAGCTCATATTAGGTATAATAAAGAAACTA